TCATTAATTTCAGATACCACATTATAATATCACAGGCAATGTCATCCTTATTTTTTATTACTTAGATTAAGTTCAGATTGAAGTTTTTCCACATTGTCTTCAATTACTTGAATTCAATCAGAAATTTGCTGAAATTTCTCACTAATTCTAACTTTAACTCCGTTTTTACCTTATTGAATTGTTTTTCAATAATCTGCTCTATAGCCGAAAGAAAGATCGGACTATCTGAAGTGGAGCAAGTATTACAAGTCCAAGAGCTTTCAATGTTCGAAGCGCCCGAGTACGTACAAATAAGTATATAAATAAATAAGTAGCTAAGGAAAGACAAAAAAAAACCGGGGACACTTTTCTTCACACCTATAGGAACTGTTATGAGAAATAACTCACTGATTAAACGTTCGTAGCATTGATGTTCGACGTCCCGCATGCTGTTGAATGCGCCAAGGTCATCAAAAAAGGTTGAATGCAAAAAAATGATTTACAGCACATTATCAACGGGAATACATTACATCGGAAGAATGTCACGTAGACATTTGTTAGATTTGAATGAGTTTATCGCTCCACATCAGATGACTAAAATTATTCATAATTCATATTCCATTGAACAAAATATTCTGAATGTTATTATTATAATTCTTACCTTATCATTATTTTATTGTTATAAAGACGAGCGTATTCTCACATTTTCCAGAAAATGGGGTGGCTCGTTCTTAATTTGATCAACAATAAATTGACTGATTCATTAATTTGTGAGTCACCTGTTTAAGTAAATCTAAAAAATATGAATGCAATGATTAAAAGTCTGTTCATATTTTCCACATTTGCGAAAGAATTTATTCGGGGTTAATAAACATATACATTTTTATTAAAAAGTTACCAAGCTTACAATAACTTCAAAACGTGAAGACTTCAAAGTACATATTCAGTTTTGCAATTCTTGATTTAATCAATAAAATAAATTGACATTAATTTTTTTCACACACCCCATATAAGCAAATCTAAAAAATATTTATGCAGTGATAAATCACAATTATAGACTCATCATACTTTGCACAATGCACATTTAAGATAGCATTTTTCGGAAAAATTTTGGGGTGGCGTGATCAATTTTTTAGGGGGGATGAGCAAATATATTTAGATCATTTTTTTCAAAAATTTACCATGCCCATGATAACTTTAAAACATCTCCAAGATTTCAAAGCATTTGGTTTTGTAGTTCCTAATTAAATAAATAAAATATATTCCCCCATTCATTAATTTTTTTGAGTCACCCTGCAAATCCAAAAAATATGAATGGAATGATAAATTACAAGTACAGACTCATCATATTTTCTACATTTTAGATATGATTTATTCGGCAAACTTCTGAGGTGACGTCATCAATTTTTTGGAAGGGACACGTAAATATATTTTGAATAAAAACTGATCATGCTTATCACAACTGTAAACCATATGCAAGATTTCAAAGCATTCGGTTTTACAGATTCCAAATTAAATGCCAAAATGCTGTTTCCAAAATTTTATTTTTTTTCAAAAATCTGGACGTTTCGGGTAAAATCTCAATTCCGAGTCATAAACTAAATGTGTAAGACTATGTTATTTGATACAATTTAAAACCCATTTACTATGCACAACTTTGAAGTGACGTCATCACACTAATGGTGGGGATGACTAGACAAATTTTGGTTAGCGTTTTACCATCTACATGATATACCTAATGTAAATACAAAATTTGACAACAATCGGAGAATATCTGTCTAATAAAAATCCGGGATGGCAGACAGACGGACCGACAGACGGACAGACAGATGGAAACGGGAGACCTATTTCTTCGCCCTCTAGGGGTCATGATAGGTCCAGAAAATGTAAAAGTATAGAGTCGGCCGACAGACTCGATTGTAATCCTTTGCTTACGCTCGGGAAGTAAAAACGCACTCGAAATGCACTAAATTCACAATAACTAAAATATGCACAGTTCACTGCAATTAAGCAAGTTAAAGAGAGAAGGAGCTAAAACGTGCAGCCAATGAATAATATTTCATCTTTGAACAGGTATTCCTGTTTGGAAAGAATTTTAAAGTGCTTTGAAGCCTCTTTTCTTACAATAATTTAATTAAATTTCTTAGAGGATATGTCACTTACCAAAATCAACCTTATTTTAGCAGGTACTAGCCCCACTCACCCACCCTCTCCTTTCTTAGAGGGTATGTCATTTGCCAAAATCAGTCTTACCCTAGTAGGTATTAGCCCCACCCACCCACCCTCTCTTTTCTTACAGAGTATGTCATTTGCCAAAATCAGTTTTATAACTTTTACAAAAAATGATCAAAATTTGGTAACATTACGAGCTTACTTATATGCATAAGGCAGGAATATTGAACATCTTCTCTAGTGTTTCGTTGGTTTTGTTTTCGTTTATAATTTTAAAATGTCTTATTAAATGTTTTATTTTTGGTTTATTTATTAATTAAAAATAACAGCTTGTTTTATTAATAATAATAATGCAAAACGATTAATGACTACTGGTTGTTATGGTTATTGTCCTAAAAAAACATAGAAGGTGGATTTCAGTCATTATAAGAAATCAGAAAGGAAGCCGGAGGTGTTCACGCGTATGGTGCGCGCAGTGTTGCCAATTTGACTTTTATAAAATTACGTTTTTTCGTAATATACATCATTAAAAAATTTTTTATAATTTTTTTGGAACTCCCGAATCCCCGCATATTACGTACTGAAGAGTTAATTCTACCATACACTTATAAATTTATAACACAAAATAAAATCTGTTGGCAAATTTAACAAAATGACCTTTGATGGGTTTTTTTGGACTAATGGTTACAAATTACAGTAATCTCTCTTCACATTATCATTTTAACTTTATAACAACAAAAAAATATTTAATTTTTTTACTCCTGTGGATTTTTTTTTATAAAATTAATTAACTTCTGTTTTATTTTTTATAAGATAAACCTATTGGTAGAAAATTTAAGAGTAATAAAAATAGTTATAATTCTATACGTATTTGATGATTATGCTATTAATATGCAAATTTTTTGACCGTTGTGCGCAACTGACCCTACCTGCATTAACTCCAGTCTGGCAAATATTATATTTAATTTAATAATAATTTTTTAAATAGTTTTTTGGGACTCCCGAATCCCCCGTACATAACGCACTGAAAAGTTAATCCACCAAACTGTATTTCGAAACCAATAACTTTTCAAAAAAATTGTGGAAGATCGTCGAAAATGAACTGTTTTAACACACGACTATATCGCAAAAGCAACATTTAAACTTTTTGTAAATGTCACAGAACTTAAATAGCAACTTAACCAGCATTTTTGTGATAATCAGAGCTCTAGGAAACGACAATTTAGTCGACAATAAAAATGATGATGTCAAAGAAATTCATGGAAATGTTTTCAAACAATAGTGTTATCGTGGTAGTAAATGTGTGACACATCTTGAATATCAACAGTTGAACGTTTTTCTTTTAGGTCGCCACATTAAACATAGTGTAAACAAAAACACAAAAAATCAAAAAGACTCGAATGTTTACGAGACCGCAAATATGCATCGACGACATATAATTAACACAATTTATTCTTAATTTGATAAACAATTTAAAACTAATTCATCAATACAAAATTATGGTGTCGAGAGTGCTATAACGATCACTACAAAGTTTTAAAGATCGAGGAATTTTTAGTGGTAGCTTGAGCGGACAGTCGTTTACAGTCTAGTATAACTATATTTTGAACGAACACGCTATGTCGTAAGTCTCACTCTTAATTGGAAGAAAAATCGATAATGTAAAACCACCTACTCTATAGAGCACACTTTCTGTAAAACTTTACATCAGAAGCGTATCGCGGAAAATGCAAAGCTCTACAGCTTCCCATGTCACTGATTACTATGATGCGATGTCTAAATCAGTAAAATGGCCCGGAAAAATAAACTACCATTTTTTGGTCAATCCAGGAAATTTATCTTTTACCAAAAGCCACGGAGGGTGAAAATCTCCACCGCAGCAACGCGTTATTTGCTACACTTTGAACAGCAAAGTTGACACTTCGAATAAAATTTTAAACTGTCAACCATCACTTCCAAAGGGCCCGTGCTTGACGGAATTTCTAACTACCAGCACAAACTTTGCATCCCTGAGGAGGTCGTGGTGGGGAAAACTTCATGGCAACTATCTACATTGTCTTTCTCGAGAATTAACAATGGGAAGTTCAGTTTTACAATTTTTAGTTGAATTTTATCATGTTAAAAATTTACCTGTAGTTCGTGGGGCAAACTTGATCTTGATAAACCCAGCCACTGACTTAAGTTTTTTGTTTGGTCTAGAACTACTTAAATAACAACCGACAAAACACTCTACCTAATCGAAAGCTAAAATGTCGCCCGAATCCGTCTAATTACGTTTCTCTGTTCATATTCGTTGATGGACACAACCTGTTCGCAGAATTGTTATGTCATGATCCGACATAAATCCTGGAAAGTTGTGTCGCTTTAGATCACATATGTGCTCGTAAATTTTAAGCCCCTCCGCTGTCCCATAAATAAAACTAATCACATCCCAGTGACCACAAATAAGGCTCCGCTGCTAAAATACAAACGTGGACTCACTTTCCAGAACCATAATTACAAAATTAGCATACAGAGAGTAAAATTTTGGCGATTTATGGAGGGCGTGAGCTCTGATCGTGGCGACGTAACCTTGTCAAACTTCATAAATTCAATAAATAGTAATTTTATTAAATGAAACACCGCTTGAAATTCTCCTCACAGAAACCTTATTTGACGAAGGTCATGACCAATAATTATTATCGGAATTTCTGTGAAGCGCTCAAGTGTGGTGGACGCACAGCACATAGTCTAAATGTTAAAAAACGCCAACAGCGGAAAGAAGGTAAATATTTGCGTAGACAACGAAGACGACAAACAATAATGGAGGTGACAGCTTGATAACAAGGAGTTGTTTATTTTCGACTCACCCAACTCCATCGGATATAGCCAGGAGTTGATGTCCAGGATCAGGTCCATCTTGAAGGATTCGCTCTCGCAGTGCAAACGGCTCACTGCAAGAAAATCGAAATATTAAAAAAAACATTGCTCCGTCATGATTCACGTCGCGCATAAAATCCAATATAATGCAGTCGCGGTGGATATCGAGCGGAAATTTCAAGTGCATGGTCGCAATAATAATAACAACGGTCATATGACACAGTCGCCCACAGCAGGCTGTTAATCAACAATCTTGACATTGAACTCATTACATCGCACGATTTGATATGCCAGGAAATACTTTATGCAGGTGAATAATACACCTATTCGTTTTTTAAAGGCGATTATGAAACGAAACGATTAAAGGATAATTGGAGGTGCCTTTTTTGGGTATCACCTTGTAGCTGCCAAATTCGTGACACATGGTGAGGATACTAATTTTAAATTTAGTGCTTCCTTGCGACGAAAATTTATAGCCGCACTGAAAGTAGGCAAGGTCTAGAAGATTTTTTTTTACTTCGGTCGTGATGATAAAGACACTACTATTATGAGTGCGGCATATTCAACAGCGCAGCATTAGCATATTGCCAACGTGCATATTTCACTAAATAAGTGTTCAAGTTTCCCAGAACCATGAACTAGAGGGAATGAATGGCTCTTCTAAAGCGAAATATTACCGACAATGGCTACGGTTCGGTACAACTCGTGGAACATACGGGTTTAGCAGCAGCATAATAACATATAGTAACACTGTGGCACTGTGCTTAAAGGTAAGTCGGCCGTAAGAGCTAAAAAAACGTTAAAATTATCCCTGCTTTGTGACAATACTACCGACGATTCCCCTCTGCTGCAGTCCGACTTAAATAAAACACGTGCAAAATTGCATAATGTATACATTTTCGTAATTGGAAAAAATATTTGTGATGGTAATTTTTCTCATACGGTTAGTGCACAAAAAAAAGTTCCGAACATATTCCATAAAAAAATTCAATTCAAATTACTCAACACTTTTTATTTTCTAAGCGTAACGAAGTATTGTAATCGAATCCATTAGACAACTAGCTACTTTTATTTTTCCTCGACGTTTCATGACCCTTACAGTAGGAAAGAATAGGTTGAATTTTTATCAGACCTGCAATCTCCAAAACTACTGGGCCAATGTTGTCAAATTTTACATGTGTATTAGAAATATGAAATTTATATTAGTAAATATTAATTCAATTTTATAAAATAAGATAACCCCTCACATGTGGTTTATGAATTCGTGTTCAGTTTTTACCCTAGACATCCAGATTTTTGGAAAATATATAGATTTCAAAATTTTGCCGAATAAATCCTCTCTGAAACATGTAAAATATTATGACTCTATAATTGTGGTCCATAAATGCACACATACATTATAAAATTACTTATACAAGAACGACTCACTTTTTCGAACAAATTCACTTGAAACAAACATGTACCATGCTTCTTAATTAACATTTACTTTCATAGAGCATACATGTTTTTATTTTAACATACAAACGTTATCATGAAAAAATAAAATTCGCAAAATCTAATCTTATAATTTTTCGAAAAATCTGAATTTGTTTACCTTTCGCCAATTTTTTGATATCACATCACAATTTTTAGCTTTTTTCGTTTGCTCTAATTTTCAATGTTTCGTTTATTAAATTTTTTTGACTTGGAATTTTTGAATGTCGCAGTTTTTCGATTTTTCAGTTTCTCTATTTTTAATTTTCCGATTTTTCAATTTCCTGATTTTTATTTTTCATTTCTCGACTTTTTAGTTTTCATTTTCTTGATTTTATATCACAAATTTTTGTTTTTTCATTTCCTTAATTTTTTCAATGTTTCTTTCGATTCGAAAATTTTTCGCTTATTCAATTTTTCAAATTTTCCTCGATTTTCCAATTTATAATTGTTTCAATTTTGCGATGTTTGGATTTCTCAGTTATCCGATTTTCCGATTTCTTTAATTTTCAATATTTCGCTATCACAATATTTCGTTTTTTCGATTTTTAAGTTTCTCAATTTTTACTTTTTTGATTTTTCAATTTTTTGTTTCTTCAATGTTTGAAATTTTTGATTTCCAATTTTTTGATATTTCGAAGTTTCCAATTTATACTTTCTCGTAATTTCATTTTTGATTTTTCAATCTTACAATTCTGCATTTTTCCATTTTTTTATCCGAAAAAACTGAAAAATCTAAAAACTAAAAAAACGAGAAATTGCAAAATCGAAAAACTGGAAAATCGAGGAACTGAGGAAACGACTAATTGAAACATTGAAAAACTAAAGAGAGACTTATAAATCGAAGAAATGAATAATCAAAAAACTGGAAAACCCATTGTACAATCGAAAAATTATAGAATCGCCAAAATTTATAAATTAAATATCGAGAGATTCAAAAACTAAAAATCGAAAAATTGTATAAATGAAAATGTTTTAAAATTCAATTATAGGTAAATGAAAAATGGAAAAATTGTAAAATCGTAAGATTCAAAAAGTGTCAAATTTTAAAAATTTATGTAAATATTACTACATACTTAAAATGAAAACTAGAAAAAATGCAAATCAAAAATTGAAGAAACGAAAAATTCAAAAATCGTGAAACTGAAAAACTAAAAATAGCACGAGTTCTCAATTTTTAATTTTTTAATTTTTTGGTTGGAAATTCGATTGAAAAAATTAAATAAAAAATCCGAACGAAAAACTGTAATCGAAAAATAGAAGAAATGAAAAATTGAAACATTGAAAAACTGAAAATTGAAAAATTTAAAAATCGAAAAAATTAATAATTAAAAAATTGGAAAGAAGAAAAAAGGAATTGAATAAAAAAATCGGATAACCCATTGTAAAATTGAAAAATTATGGAATCGCCAAAACTGTAAAGTCGAAAAACTGTAACACTGAAAGATCGAAATGTTGATAAATTAAATATCGAGCAATTCAAAAACTAAAAATCGAAAAAATAAATATATGAAAAAGTTTTAAAATACAATAGGTAAACGAAAAATGAAAAATGGAAAAAAACTAAAATCGTAAAATTCAGAAAGTGTAAAATTTTAAAAATTATGTGTAAATATTACTACATATTTAAACTGAAAACTAGAAAAATTGCACACCAAAAATTGAAGAAACGAAAAATTGAAAAATCAAGAAACTGAAAAACTAAAAATTGCACGAGTTGTCAATTTTTAATTTTTCAATTTTTTGGTTTGGAAAATCGAAAAATTGAAAAAATAAAGAACATAAGAAAAGCAAATCGAAAAATTCCAAATCGAAAAATTGAAGAAATGAAAAATTCAAAAATGTTACATCGAAAAAAAAATATATAAAATCAGAACACCGAAAAACCGAAAAACTGAAAAAATAAAGACAATAAAAAACCCAAACGAAAAGTTGAAGAAATGAAAAATTGAAACATTGAAAACCTAAAAATTGAGAAATTCAAAAATCAAAAAAATTCATAATAAAAAAATTGGAAAAGCCATTAAAATCGAAAAATTACAGAATCGTTATAATTGTAAAGTCGAAAAACTGTAAACACTGAAGGATGGAAAAACTGAATAAATGAAAAAGTTTTAAAATGCAATAGGTAAATGAAAAATGAAAAAATTCTAAAATCGTAAAATTCAAACAGTATAAAATTTTTACAATTATTATATGTAAAGATTACTACATATTTATAATGAAACCTAAAAAAATTGCAAATCAAAAATTGAAGAAACGAAAAATTGAAAAAGCGGGAAACTGAAAAATTAAAAACTGCCCTAGTTCTCAATTTTGAATTATTCAACTTTTCGATTTTCCAAATCTAAAAATTGAAAAAAAGAAAAATGATTAAATCAGAACACTGAAAGTCCGAAAAATTGTAAGAGTTCTCAAATTTTAATTTCCCAATTTTTCGATTTTCCGAATCTAAAAATTGAAAAATTTTACATTGACAAAATCAATCAATCAATCAATCAATCAATCAAAAATTGAAAAATCGGAAAACTGAAAAATTAAAAATTGCACGAATTCTCGATTTGTAATTTTTCAATTTTTCGAGTTTTCAAATTTAAAAATTGAAAATTTCACATTGACAAAAAGAAAAATTATAAAATCAGAACACTGAAAATCGGAAAAATTGAAAAAATAAAGAAAAGAAAAAACGAAAGGAAAAATTACAATTCAAAAAATTGAACAAATGAAAAATTGCAAAATCTAAAAATTGAAACACCCAAAGTTGGAAAATCAAAACTTGACAAATTTAAAAATGAAAACTCGGAAAGTTAGATATCGTAAAACTGAAGACAAAAACAAAAAAATTAGAAACTGTAAAATTGCAAATAAAAAAATTTGAAATACGAAAAATTAAAGAACCAAAAGACTGATAAATTAAAACTTGAAAACACGACAAATTTTAAATCGAAAAATTGTAAAATCAAAAAATTGTAAAATCGAAAAATTGCGAAATCTAAAAATCGAAAAATTCAAAAGTTGGAAAATTGAAAAACTGAAAATTTTAACTCGTGAAAATAGAAACATTGCAAATCGAAAACCTGAACACACAAAAAAATTGAAGAAATGAAAAATTGCAAAAAAATCTAAAAATTGAAATATATATCCAAAGTTGGAAAACCAAAAAACTGACAAATTTAAAAATGAAAACTCCTAGAGTTACATATCGTAAAACTGAAGAAATAAAAAAATTAAAAACTGTCAAATTCCAAATAGAAAATTTAAAATACGGACAATAAAACAATGGAAAATTGCAAAATCTAAAAATTGAAAAATTCAAAAGTTGGAAAATTGAAAAACTGAAAAATTTACTCTTGAAAATAGAAACATTTGAGTTTTAGAGCTCGAAACCTACAAGAAAGTGTGTTTAGTTGAGTTTCGAAAATGTGAAAATTTTTGCGAAATTTGAAGAGGGGAAGACCATTAAAAAATTTCAATTTTAAAAAAGTCCAAAAATAATGAAACAATTCAGGGACGTAGATCTCGACACGCTGATTCCAAAAATATAGCATATTGATGGTCACGAAGCAACATTTTCGAAAAAATCGCTGCGAAATGCGAATTT